TAAAAAAGAATAGTAATAAAATAGAAGCATGTAATTCATATCAGAAAAGATCAAACTATAGATTAAAACAGCACCCAATTTTCACCTATAAATTATAAAGATTTTAATGCAAAAACAATCACTGTATTTAGAAGATGAGTTAGGAGAAAACAGATGACCTCAGTTCAGTTCAGTTCAGTGGCTCGATGACCTAGGTTTTGGCAATTATTTTTTAGACACAACACCAGAGGCATAATCCCTGAAATAAAGAATTGTTAAGGAGGGCTTCATTAAAATTAAGATTTCTGCTCTGTGATAGATAATGTGAAGAGCATGAAAAGACAAGCTACAGACTGGGAGAAAATATTTGAAAAAATACACCTGGTAAAAGACTGTTATCCAAAATACACAAAGAATTCTTCAAATTCAAAATAAGAAAACAATGTGATTAAAAATGGGTCAACAACCTTGAAAGACACTTCACTAAATAAAACATACAGATGGAAAATAAAGCATATGAAAAAATGCTCCACACTCTATGTCAACTAGGAATTGCAAATTAAAAGAACAATGAGATACCACTACGCTCCTATTAGAATGGCCAAAATATAGAACAGTGACGATACCAGGTACTGACAAGATGCAGAGCAATGAGAACTCTCTTTCATGGCCTGTGGGAATGTAAGGTAATGCAGCCACTTTGCAAGATCTTTGGCAGTTTCTTACAAAACTAAACATACTCTTACTGTAAATCCAGCAATCACACTTTTGGTATTTACTCAAAGTAGTTGAACACATTTCCACACAAAAACCTGCACACAGATGTTTACAGCAGTTTTATTCATAATTGCCCGGAGGAAACCAAGATGTCCTTCAGTAGGTGGGTGGATAATAAACTGTTAATATTATACATCCAGACAATGGAGGGCTATTATGTGCTAAAAAAGAAAGGAGGTATAAAGCTATGAAAAGATATGGAAGAAACTTAAATATATGTATTTCTAAGAGATAAACAGACAATCTGCAAAGGCTAAACTCTGTATGATTCCAACTATAGAATATTTTTGAAAAAGCAAAACTATGGAGACAATCAAAAGGTCAGCGGTTGATGAAAAGGAAGCGATGAGTAGAGGGAGCACAGAGGATGTTTTAGGGCAGTGAAACTACTCTGTGTGATATATAATGATGGATACCAGTCACTTTACATTTGTCCAAATGCATTAGATGTATAACATAATGTGTGAACCCTAATGTAAACTCTGGACTTTGGTTAGTAATGATGTGTCAGTGTTAGTTCATTGATTGTCAAACATTTACCACTGTAGTGGGGGATGTTGATAACAGGGAAGGCTATGCCTGTGTGGGGGTAGGGTGCCTATGGAAAATCTCTGTACCTTCCTCTCAATCTTGTTGTGAATTAAAGTTTCTCTAAAATGTAATATCTAGAGACTTCTCTGGTGGTCCATTGGCTAAGAATCCTCATTCCCAATTCAGGGGGCAAGTTCAATCCCTGGTCAGAGAACTAAGACCCTGCATGCTACAAGGCATGGCAAATAGATAAATAAATAAATGTAATTTCTTTTTTTTTAAAGAAGTGTTTATAAAGTTACAAGGAAAGGAAGTCTTATACATTACTGTTGAGTGTGTTTTTTAATCAGTTTATTCACATGTAAAAAAGTCATCAAATTTCACCAAAATGTTGACAGTGATTGTCTAGAGGTAGTTGGATAATGGGTGATTGAAGGCAGAAGTAGGGTTGTATTTTTGTTGTTGTTTGATTTCCAAATTATATTTTCTTAAATATTCAGAAAAACAAAACTGCATTTGTTTTAAATCAAGTATCTATAATTATTGAAAAGTATAGTTAGGTTTTTTAAAGTCTATGAAAGATTTTTATTTTTTCTGTGTTGTTTCATCAAACTAAAGAGAAGATTACACAAGTTTATATGGTTGCTAAGGGGTGCCCTGGTTAATGCAATGGGACTGTAATTTGGGAGAATAAGTGAGATATTAAGCTGTTGCTAAGGTTCGGCTTGGAGACTGCGCATTCTGTTGTTATTAATGGGAGGACAAGTGGAGAAAGGGGAGCTGAACTGAAGAGTGAGAGGTAATGGACGGATACAAATCTAGATGAACAGTGGCTGACTCCGCAAAACTATCAAATGACTTTGCAGAAGACCTGTCACAATGGATAAACGGTCCCTCCGGAAGAAACAGCTTAGCATTCCTGCAGTGCACACACGATAATTTCCAGGGATGAGGCTGAGAGGAAAGAGACAGAATGAAGAAAGGCAAGAAGTTCCAAGATGCCTTAATGAGTCTGCAGACATCTCTTGAATGAACAACTGGAAAGAGAGCTAAAGAAGAAAAACCAAAAACAAAGCATGCATGTACTTCATTTTCGGCTTCAGTCGCTGGGCAAACATCCACCATTCTGCCCTTTATCCGCTCATGAAAAATGGTGAGTTGCTCTGTGGCTGTTGACTACATTCTAATTATTTCTGTGGTAAATGAGGCATGAAACCTATTGTCAAAAAACACGATGCCCACCAGCATACAGCCAGGTTTTATCTTCCCAGCAAATCACTCCTGGGCCTTGTCTAAAGGACCCTCAAAATAACACGTGCTCACATATTTTTAAGGCAAACTTTCAGGTCCAAGATTGCCTTTTTTTTTTTCCTAACATTTCTAGCATTTCTGTGCAAGAAAAGAAGAACCTTTCTGAAATATATAATCCAATTATATCAAGTAAAGGTAACACACCCAAGGAAAAAAGGCAGGAATGGGCCAGGGGCTGGGAAGAGGGCTGCAGAAGTCTCCTGCTTAAAGTATATCTAACAAACAGTTATACCCTTTTGTATGATAGTAAGAGCCCTGTTGCTAACACAATTCCTAGGATTCACTCTGCTGATTACTATATGTCATGATTTAGTTCTACTCATCAGAAACGAATCAAAGGTACTCAAACAGCTTGCTGCTGATTTCAAACCAACAAGTATCATTTTTATTACATCTCCTCTGCCATCTCTTAATGAATACACACTTACTGGAAGGAATATTTTCTGGGTCAAGACATTTTCACGGTGATTTCCCTCTCAACCAAGTAGTTTTCAGGTCCTCTGGGTAGGAACCATGATTTGCTTTGATCAACCATCTCCATGAGTAGACATATCATATAAATGTTTGGGTGAAATAGGCAGCTTTCATCCTGTTGCTCTCCACCAGATTCCATGCCTCTCAAATTTAATTGAAATCTTTTCAAAACATATAGCTGAATCACATCCTATATGTAGGAGTCGTGCCCTGTAAGAAGTTGCCCCAGCCCAAGAAAGGTCAGATTTCAACCTTCAGTATCCTTGGATAGGTTGCAACTGAAAAATCACTAGTTTGTTGTGTGGAATTACTACTTAGTTATAAGGGATGGCATGGAGGTACAGTAATACTATGCTCTTATGATCACCCATAGAGAAACCATTGCATGTGGAGCCTGACACAAAATTCTTTAGACTTGAATTAGAAAAGGCATCTCTCTGATAGATTTCTTCTTGTTCCAGTTTACAGGCAACTAATCCTCACTGCATTGGATCAAACAGACAGGCACAATCAATTCAGGGAAAGGAAGCAATGCCAGGTCTGCTCAATCTTTCCTCAATGAACAGCAGAGGAGACGGGAGGTGGTGGAGGGAGCAGCAAAGATGGAAAGAAAGAAAGAAAACGCAGGCATGTCTGCACCCAAGATAGCTCAGCAAAGGCGAAGATGAAAAGACACATTGAAATATACATCCTGGCAGATGGAAGCACTTGCTGTCAGAGAAAAGAAGCTTAAATACCACCACGATGCCAAACACACCAAGCCTTTGGGCGCTGAGGGCGTGGAAGGAGCAGGGGCAGACAGAAGTGGTTGTGATGTCAAAACAAAGTCAGTGCAGTGTCTCTGGGGAGGGAAGAGGTCTGGACTTACTTAAGTCTCCAGAGTCTATGATCTATAGCATCATGTGATAAGCAAGTTAATTACTGCACTTAAGTAATTAAATCTCACAGAAAACCAGTGCCTTCTGAAGCATTATGAATTTAAGCTATTAGATCTTTCTAGGCTTGACTGGCCATTTGGTGAGAAGTCACACTGGAATGGCTGCCTAACAGTGGCAGGATGAAAATTCATGAAAATGAGCTGGAAATAAGAGACTTCAATATAAACAGTTTTCTCTCTGCCTTTGGATGTGAGGATGCTCCCTCAACTATTGGTAGCCACTTTCTTCCCCAACGGCTCAATTTCCCTCTCCCTCCCTTGGTTAAAATGTGGGCAATGACTTATTCCTTCTATCCGTTAATGCCTGTTGATACTCTTTTCTCTCTCTTGGCCATTATATCTCTCTTTCTTCCTCCTAAGTACAATTTGCCTACAGTGCAGGGCATCAAAGAGGCTCATGTGGATAACAGTTATCCATCTTCTAACTCATTAACAAGCCTCACAATTCTCAGAGACCCATCCTCCCCCTGCCATGGCTGTGAGTCAGGTTCTCAGGCCAATGTATTCATCAGCATCATATATTCTGAGAAGGGAACATTGCTATTTAAGAATGGGAAGATTAAATCATTTCTTGTCCCCCCAAGTGTGCAGATATGAATGATGAGATTGCCTTTTCTGAGCTAATGACTCCAAAATGATACCTGTACACATATAAACATATAACTGTCAAACCACACCTAAGTAAGTGTGTATGTGTGTTGCTAAGCTGCATCTTCTTTGCCATAAGCAAAATTTTATAAAAATGCATATTTATAAATATACGTAGGTTTCTATGTGCACTTATGTACAAGTAAGCATCCTCCCCCACCCCCGTCTTCATCAAGAACTCAGGATGTCCCAGATCTGGCTCCAATAGAATTCTACTGCCCCACCTTCATTTGGCAGTTCTTCCATGTATTTTTCTTTATCAAACACCCACAGGTCCATGTGACTTTCACTTCTGAGATATTCTCCAATGGACACACAAAGGTTCCAATTGTGAGCAACTTACTTCTGCAGGGAGAAGTCCAGAGGCTCTTCCTCAGCATTCAGCAGAGCTGCTGCGCGGGTCAGGAGATGATGGCTGCAGCTTCCAGATCTGAGTTCCAAGACAAGGAGCCCCAAGCAGAACATGGCTCCCATCTCCTCCAGCTCACTGGTACCAAACTGCAGACCCTGCCGGTTAAAGAGAGCAGTCAACAGTGAGTGCAGAGTGGAAATGCAGTGAGGACAATCTGTGAGTAGGAGGAAGGATTCCTGGATGCATGTCTATCACAGAAATGATGAATTAATAGTATTTGTCGGTCACTGCCCAGTGAGATTTGTCATGTGCTTTGTGGATCGGTGGTTCTCAGCCTGCATGACATCAACCTTAAGGGAGAACCCCCAAGACAATAATGAGCAGTTAGGGGTACTGAAAGGCAGGAGGGTGCTTAAAGATCCAGGAGCCACCCCCCACCCCAACTTCTGATAAAGCAGCAGTGCTTCTCTCTATATTTTACAAAAAGATTTCACAGCTGAAACAAAAGTTTGTAAATGGTCTTATTAAGAGAGACTAAAAGTCTGCTTATGCCAAAATACAAAGAAAGCAATAATAAATTAAAAGAGTTTCTTGTAGAAAAAAAAAAAAGAGATATCTTTTCTCTCCCATAAATTTACCAACCAATGGAGAATGAAAGAGATCTTTGATGTAAAAACACTGAATCTCAAAACATAAATAAATAAAATAAAAACCACTCACTGTTTATTTAGAACCACATATTCAGCTGTACTAGGATAACACATGAAAGCAGAGCTGTGACATATACTCTATGCTATTATTAACAGTTAACAAGCAACTTGAATGTTGACCATGTGTCATTGTGTTCTGAGCTCTCTTACATGCATTGACTCAGTGAATCTTTACCAAAGTCCTAAGAGTTCATTATAGAGTACTGAGCTTGTATAGCAGGTTCCTGCTCGTTATCTGTTTCAAACATGGTAGTGTATATATGATGGTCTAGATAGGTGAGATGGCTGAGGGGGGTCCAAGAGGGACAAGATATATGTATACATATAACTGAACTGGAAAAGGTCTGTTTTCATTCCAATCACAAAGAAAGGCCAAAGCCAAAGAAAGTTCAAATGACTGTGCAGTTGTCTTCTTTTCACATAGTAGCAATGCAATGTTCAAAATCCTCCAGTCTAGGTTTCATCAGTATGTGAACTGAGAACTTCCAGATGTACAANAAATAGATTTTCCATCCAAAGAACAGTAATCTAGAAGACAGGGATGTGATAGTAAAAATTTTAAAAGACTGGCCTAAGTGTCACAAGGAAAAATGAAGTTCCAAGTTAGGAAACTGTTTCATGAGAGAATTTCTAGGTAAAATGATAAAGAAATGTGTAAAGTCCTCAACTTTATTTCAGCTGTTTAAAAATGTGGTTTGCTGCATGTTTGGACACCTGTTTTCCTAAAGAAAGGAGACATTACTTCAGAGTTAAGGGAAGTCTGTTCCTCCATATACAACAGCAGCAGGAGGGGAAAGACAGATGTTTAACAAGTGATTTTTCCTTAGGTCAATCGAGAAGATCCCTTTTCACAAAAAGAGAAAAGATCTCAGTCTCTTTCCAGCTACAAGTGCTCTGAGGTCCAACGCTTTTCCTCCTCTCATTTCCTGACTGCTCTGCTTCATTCTACAGTGGCTGGCTTAGTCGGGAGCAGTGAAGTGGAGGTCAGACCCTCCTCCTCCACCCTCCTGCCTCGCTGTGGCAAAGGGGAATAAACAAGGAGGGTATGAACAAGAATCCAGGCTCCAGGGATGGGCAGCATAATTGACCCATGTGTGTTAGCCCAGCATCCAGTCCAACATATAACAAGCCAGAAGAAAGAAGAGTCCCGGGGGAAATAAATCTCATAGCAGGCACAATATTGGCAGATCAGAGGAAGTTTCTACATACAAGTCAAATTCTGTACAGCAACAGTCAAAAAGATAGCATTGTTTTTTACTACCATAACACCTTGCTTTTTAAACTAATTTATTTTTAATTGGAGGATAATTGCTTTACAATACCATGTTGGTTTCTGCCACACATCGGTATGAATCAGCCACAGGTACACACATGCCCCCTCCCCCTTGAAACTTCCTCCCACCTCTCAGCCCTTTAAACCCCTCTGGGTCTTTACAGAGCCCTAGCTTGAGTTCCCTGAGTCAGACAACAAATTCCCATTGGCTACCTATTTTACATATGGTATTGTATATGTTTCCAGGGTACTCTCTCCATTCTTCCCAACCTCTAAAAAAAAAAAAAGAAAAAAGAATAGCATTTTCATAATGCAAAAAGAGTCTCAGCATAGATATCAGTTCACTTATTTCAGTTAATGGTTGGTAAATAAAATGACTAGACAAGAAGACATCAAATAAAGTAACTTGCAACATTTGTTGACTGTGGGGCCTTGAGGAACACCTGTTCTGTTTCGCTCTCTACTATGAATCTCACTTTAGTAACCTATGCTTTTTACTCTCAAACTGTATGAAGAACATTTGTTTTTCCAAATGGCCTCTCCTTCTTTCCTACATTCAGCCTGGAGTGAAAATCTCAGAGGCAAGGACTCAGCAATATATGCTTTTTCTTTTTTTTTTTTTTAAATATATCCCTGGCATGGAACACATAGTTCAGCATATGGTATATCCTCCGTATATTACAAAATGGTAAGTAATGGCTATAAATGGATGGATATGCAGAGGCATGGGTGTGTGTCTCTTGGATACTTATTGTATTTGCTGAGTGAAATGGTATTTCTCTGGATAGCAAATATAGGAATGCCTTTAAATTCTGTTCTCCTGCTGTTAAATGCCATGAGCATTTTTAAAAATTCTTATTTTATTTTTGTTTCAGGAGATGCATTTACTCCCTGGATACATTTGGGGAAATAGGTAAACAAAAATTAAAAATTCTCTTATCTATATTGGTCAGTTACTGTGTACTCACAGCAGTAGTTTTATAGATAAATCTGGCTTTGGGTTAGTTTAAAAGTGTATCTTAGTAAAACAGAGAACCAATTTTCCTCTCCCTAAGCTTAGTTTGATTAATTAGGATTTGTTTTTCACAGCCAATGACAAAAAGTTTGACTAAAGTGAATTAACCATAAATGGAGCTTTCTTTTTTGCATATCATAAGTTTCAGTGGGTATTAAGTTTCTGGCCTTATTTCAGTTGTCTTAACAAAATCAGGGTCACTATATCTGTTAGTCTCCTGATTTTCTCATCATGACTGCAAGGTGGCTGCAGTAGCTCCAGCCAGCACATCACCATTCAAGGAAGGAGAAAGAGAAAGTGGTGGGGGAGGGGGGAGATGACAGCATATTCTTGCTTACACTTTATTGGTCAGAATTATGTAATAAAGCAAACACTAGCTTTATAATTGCCTGGCAAGTAAATAGTTTAGATTGCTCATCCTTTTTAATAAAGACATGTAAGAAAGAAGAGTGTTAGAAACAAGATTGGGTGAGTCCAGCAATGACACACCAATATCCATATACCAATGCTACTAGAAAGTATAGGTCCTTATTTTTTTCAACACATTGGTAAGCAAAACTCACTAGCACAGCTCTTTACATATACATATATTTCTAAGCTTTCCTTGATAATCTACCCCAAAATAATTTAAATTCATAACTATATTTGATCCCCAAACTGGCTAGTAACCTCACCCTCGTATAATTTTTAAATATCAACATCGGAAGAATATTTGTATTCTTATAGAAAATTACCAATTGTAACATTTAAAAATAAGTTTTAAAATAACTTTAAAGTTAAAATAACTTTAAAGTCTAAAATTTAATTTTTTTATTTTAATATTTGTATTATTGCAGAAAATTATATATTGGTAATATATATATACCAAACATAGAATTCACAAAAGATACATTTATAAAGCATGAATACTGATAAGCAAGATACTTATCAAGATACTGGTGAGCATAGAGAAAACCCAATTAAAAATCAAACATGGGGAAATATTCTAGTTTACTACTTAAAAATGCTTCTTACACCCTGCAAATTGGTAGATATACAAACTCAAATTGAAAATATTCAGTGCTGACTCTTATGATAAAAGCTGGCACATGTCAAAATACAATGACTATTTGATGTGATAATATTACTTCTGGGAACCTTCCTAAGGAACCAATTCTAAATAAAAGTGAAGCCATATGCACAAAATGTGCATCATATCAAAGTTATATATAATAATTAAAATTTTTTGAGAAAAAAGTCTAAATATCTAATAAGGAAAAATGACTAGTGAAATTATAATGGAATAAATTTTATGAGATATAATGAAGTCACTGAAATGATAATTATAGCAATTTAACAATAAGCAGTATATTTATAATTTAATGATAAGTGTGAAAAGCAAAATACAAAGCACATAATGGATGTGATTTCTGGTGAAGATTTAGAAATGCAAACCCTTCACATACACTTTCAGACACTATTGATATGATTTGTCTATAATACACAAACACATAGAGAGAGGCTCTGTAATATCGATAAAACATCCATGTACAAAATACTTTTAAAAATTATCACTCCCTAGAAAACTGGTTTTTTTTCCATTTATTTTTATTAGTTGGAGGCTAATTACTTTACAACATTGCANGCCCACGTGTAGCAGTGAAGATCTGGTGCAGCCAGAAAACATAAAACAAACAAACAAAAAAACTATACGTAGCATGTCCATGAACTAGTGTAATTACATTTAGAAAGTGTAAGATCTCCTATCTTTAATATTCTGAAGTGCATTAAGATTTCTTTTATGTGTAATTTAGTGACAGTAAAGATCGGTGTCTTTATTTAGCTCTAGAAAAATGTCACCCGTTATTTCTTAGAATGATTTATTCTCCCATTCCCTATCTCTTCCAAAACTCTTTACTTTCGTAGTTTTTTTATTTCTTTCTATCTATGTGATTCTGAATATTTTATACAAATACTCCATTTTCATAATTCTCTCTCCAGCTTTATTGAATCATCTTTCTAACATATCTGTCTCAAAATCCGTCTCTGAAACACTATACCACAGTTATCAATATTCTCTACCTGATTAGTCCTAAATATACTCTTTGTGTGAATCATTTACTGGTTTGACTTTTCTGTTTAATGTCAATAACACAGGCTTGTTTCCTTATGATTTTT